ACGTGATCGACACTATCACTCGGTTCAGTCTTCATCTGAAAGCATATAGAAAACGCCTGCATAAAATATTTAACTGTTGCAGTTGAATATCAAAAATGCTCAATTCCAATTAGGTATTATAACTGAATGATAAATGACAATTTTCAGGACGTAAAAAAACTGTTCGGTAATAAGGCACTCAAAGAGAAACCAGATAAAGATCTTTGGGTGAATATGTTCAGCAGAGCTAACTTCAGGCAACTGAGACATGTGTTTAGTGAATACACCAGTCATACTGGAGAAACCATTTCCGATGGCATTAAGGTACTATAACCTTATCATCAATTGCATTCGTTGCGATTTTCATGAATTTCATGCTTCTTTACGGGTCGGAAGTATTGAAAAATGAATGCGAGGTGTTTTCCACTGATTTGATCAGTCGACATGCTCATTTTTTATCGTTTTTTTAAATTCGAATGCACATTTTTGCAAAGCCATTTGTGGCAATTGGCTGACTGATAGGAGTATAGACAATCGTCCGAATGGGACCAAGAGTTTCATCATGAGTCGCATTTTAGCTCTGTCTGCACTTTTGAACTACCACAAAACACTTAAGCTTCCGTTGAACATGTTCTGCCAAGAATTGTTCATAAATAATATTTTATCAGTTTACGATCATACTTCATTGCTCAGTTTAATCGTGAACCAAACATTCCGTGAATTGAACTAAAGTTTTTCATTGTAATTATTGGACAATAAACTAATACTTCCAGCCAGCTCAGCTTTTCGTAGTGTAAGTTGTTGTCGATAGCGTAGAATATTAACAAGTTTATTGATAGGCTGTTCTTGTGATTCAGAAAGTGAGTGAGAATAGGATACTGAAATGGAATAAGAGTCCTCTCTTGCACAGCATTTTGGAGCAGTGATACGGGTCATTGTTTCATACTCTCCAGTGGCTGTGGAAAAGAAAGCTGGTAATGATTTGCTGGCGTTATCTGAACAGGACTCTTCCGATGAAACCTGCTTGCTAAGTTGCGAATTCCTTGCAAACAAAATGATCTCTTCTCTTTCAAAAGTGATTGGAGCTAAGAAATGACTAAAATTATTGATGAAGATTGTTCAGTAAGTGGAGGACTACCGTGAAACGGTTAAAACCCGATTACTGAATCCTCTCCATAATCTGATTTTGCTTGACAGCATGCCGGAAAATTCCCTAATTTCAACCAAAAATGTTCACTGTTTTGAATCGTAGCAAATTTTTGCCGGAAATTTTGCTCGTAACCCAAATTGTTCGTCAACCAAAGCGATAATGGATATAATTTAAATGAGACTTCAAGTGTTTTGGATAAGATCAGAGCATCGGTCAGAATTCTCAGAAAGCGTCGAAAAAACTGTGTCTATGGCTATCGTTGTGACGAAATCACCTGTTAGCTGAGTTCAAAGGGCTGATATTTTATTGTTATTATCTCTAAGCAGTTCTGTTGAGGGAAACAGCTGCTTTGACCGCTTAAGGCAAAAAAGAATATAATTTGGAATTTTTCGAAAGTTCACCGCTCGTGAGTCGATGGTTACGCTGCAGAGTATAATTGATTATATTGAGAGATGATCGACGGTTTTGCTCAAATTTTAGTTTTACCGTTCCAAATTTTTAGAGAGTGTTTAGTGGTGATGCCGAGACGGCCTATTTGGCGTTAGTGGAGTTCATTGAAAACAAAGAACGTTATTTCGCAAAGCAACTCTATGCAGCAATGGAGGTTAAATGTTAAAATTTTGAAATTTTGAAATCACTTGATACGGAAAATAAGACTGAACTTCAGGTATTTCGCATATGCAAAGTGTGAATTATTGAATAGTTTCAAGTTACTTTGTCGGAGAAATGGTTGATGCTTTTGCATATCATTATTTGAACGAATTTGCAGCGTTTGCATTCTTCTTCAATTAAGCATGTTCTGAATGATTATGCACGAATCACACTCACCATAAATGTTCGAGTATTTTAGGGACTTGGCACTCGCGACAAGGATTTGATTCGCGTGATTATTTCACGGTCAGAAATCGATTTGGCTGCAATTCATGAGGAGTTCGATAAGATGTACAAAAAGCCGTTGATTGACTGGCTGAAGTCTGAGTGCTCAGGTGCATATCGCGATGCACTTATCAGCATTGTTAATGGCAATTAAACAGCACTCATTTATCAACACACAACTGCATTGTGTCGATTTGCATTGCCGTTATTCAGTTTTGTTGTCATCGATTTGATTCGTTCGTTCAATAAACCAATCTAGGACAGTTGATGTGACACTATAAACCACTGTAAACGATGGTAATGATTTGTCACAATTTAAATTGAAACGCAATAAAATCGATTGAATAATTTGCATGACGGGCAAAAGCATCACGAAATTGATTAGATGTTGAGAACAGGTTCACACTGTTTATATCGGCATGCATTAAGACATGAGTAAGTTATTTTGAGCACTCATCAAGATATTGCTCTTTGCAATCAGCAGCAATCAAACACCAGAGGTTTTTTTCACGCTTTGCAGCATTCTGAATAACTGATAAGTGAATTGTTGTTCTTCGCACATTGCAGTTTTGCATGCATTTCGTTCCTTTCCGGATTGTGACATCGTACTTAATCACTCCGATAGGACTCGTGCTTCTTTTGCAATTTACCATCGAACTAACAAAACTTTATCCACGTCAGTATTCGCATCACTGCAAATCGATTGACTCCACTGAGTGAAAGATGTGCAAAGCACATTAATGAACTTTTACTCCGTAAAATACGTTTATTTACAGTGCTTAATACCATTTTGTTTGTTTCACTATAGCATGCATAATTTGCATTTATTCAGCTCAAAGGAGCTCTGAAAAATGCTAAAACTTTCTCCTTAAGTACAAGTAAATCATCAATTCGGTAGCGTTATTAGGGGAACGATGGTTTTATGACCAATTTCCGAAAGAATCGAAATAGTTATCCTATTTTGCATTGCTCTTGTTTTGAATGATACCTGTTTTATTCATTCGTATTTTTGCATCTATTCAATTTTTATCGGCTGCACGTAAGTAAAACGAGCTGGTGACGAACGTTGACAAGTGATTGTAATGAAAATAATTTAAGCATTCCGCTATTATCGATCATTTCCCAGCAACTCGAACATTCGTGTC